GTGTATGGTTTATAAGGGAATGTATGGGAGTTATGATAAAGTTACGAAAATAAAACGTTTCACTCAACAGTTTGCCTCAAAACCTGCTGCAGTTGTTGCTTTTACTTTGTTCAGTCTTCTGGCGAAGTTTCAGCGCGATTTGAGGCCGTTTAGTGGGTTTTTTCAAAATCCGCTCTTCTCTACCTAAATAATGGGAAGGCTGAAGACTTAGCACCCGATATCGACTACATCACGCTAGAAAATCCAAAAAAAATCTCTATCTCTCTCCTTGAACCGCAATAAAAATGCAACATCTCAAAGGGATACGATAATTTCTCTATTATAACATGTATTCTGAATGCCACCACGCCAAATATGTCCAGAAAAATCCTGGCTTGAAGTCGAATATTTGATTTCTTCTACAGCGTGTGATCGATGGTGTTCAAACAGACTGCATTCCCATTATTTAGGTAGAGAAGAACCCACTAAACGGCCTCAAATCGCGCTGAAACTTCGCCAGACGACTGAACAAAGTAAAAGCAGCAACTGCAGCAGGTTTTGAGGCAAACTGTTGAGTGAAACGTTTTATTTTCGTAACTTTATCATAACTCCCATACATTCCCTTATAAACCATACACAGGAACCTTGTTTGGGCTGCCTGTGCATAGGTCAAACGCACTCGTGCGTGAAGTTCAATGGTAGAACTTGAATGTTGGATTGTAATCCAACAATGACGGAAAGATTATGTGCTTGTATCTAACAACTTTAAAGCCTTAGTCCTTGAACGAGAAACTCTAATGGTTCATTTTAATATACTGTTTAGAAAATAACGTTCTCAAAGTTGAATGTTGAACTTGATGTATGTCAAAAGAGCAATGTTGAATTTTGTCCAGGCACGAAAAGCTATTAAAGGATTTTGAATCGTGGAACTCGAATGTTGGACGAGATTACCGCTAAGTTGAAATCGAAATCTTGTCGGAAAAGCAACTAACAATATTGCATTGCAAGTGAAACACTGAATTCTTTATTAGAATGTTGAAAACCTGAGGTTGAATTTTGTCGGGAATATAACGCCATACATTCATTTCTGTGATCACAGTAATGAATGGACTGTCTGTCTGCATGTGTGCTTAAAATCGCGTGATTTGGCTTTTAGTTTTGGAGACTATTTGAGGACAAAATCTAAGATTTCACTTCCAGAGGTGTCGGATAACCGTTAACACCACCCCTCCCCCTAAATCGGGTCCCGTGAGATGATAACTGTTTCAAGACTTTTCTCTAGTTCTCCTCCCTCCACAAAATCTGGCACTCTACTCCAATTCCATCTGTGTTAGCCATGCCAAGACTTCGATCAGCCAAGAGGTTGTTTCAGGGTTYGATCTTTGAGTAAACCATRCCCKGACTTAGATCAGCCYAGAGGTTGTTTCAGGGTYCGATCTTTGAGTTAGCGCTGATTATACATCTGCCCAGCTGTTTCGATCTGAGCCGCCGTACCCTGACTTAGACCACCCAAGAGGATGTTTCATGGATTCGCTAAAATTTTAAGATCATATTTGATTATACATCAGCTATTTCGGAAAAGCTCTCCAATGCAGTCAGAGAGCAAATTAAAGTCGCCCGTTGTCCTCTGTTCCGACAGGCAGGAATCCACAGTACGACCGTAAAGGTCRTCGACCATCATCTATATTAGCTTTGATAATTTAGCGATATATATACATACACTTATTTCAATAAAGTTAGTCACCAAAAACCTAGAAAGCTGAGATCACTGAGCATCATGGGAAACTTTGCATATCAAAAAAGCATATATACACAAAGCTTTTTTTTATTACAAACTACGCTCAGAAGAAGTGAGACTGTAACCGGTAAAAGATTCGCAAGTCCATGAACAGTTATCAAGCGGTTGAACGTGTAAAATGAATCTACCCATAATCCTTGTCGGCCTCAGCTTTATAGCTTTTCAGGTGAC